GTGAGCACCGCGTGCTAACAGACGTCTACTACATTCCAAAGCTCCGCAGCAACATAGTGAGCCTCGGACAACTCGACGAACACGGTTGCCAGATACTTATCGAAGACGGTGCGCTATGGATTCGCGACCGGCAACGACATCTGCTTGCTAAGGTAAACTTATCGAAGACGGTGCGCTATGGATTCGCGACCGGCAACGACATCTGCTTGCTAAGGTAAAAAGGACCAAGAACCGCTTGTATGTGCTTAATCTTGATTTGGTACAACCTGTGTGTTTAGCAACTAGGTGCAATGAAGATGCATGGCGGTGGCACGCGCGCTACGGACATCTGAATTTTCAGGCTCTCCGAAAGCTAGCGCAACATGGCATGGTTCGTGGGCTGCCACAGATTGATCAGGTGGATCAAATATGTGACGGTTGCCTTGTGGGCAAACAAAAACGAGCTCCATTCCCGCAGGAGGCGAACTCTCGCGCGGAGAACGTACTGGACCTGGTACATTGCGACTTGTGCGGGCCCATCACACCGGCTACACCAGGAGGCAAGAAGTATTTCCTGCTCTTGGTGGATGATCTCAGTCGATACATGTGGCTGACACTGCTAGAGTCCAAAAACAAGGCATTGGCGGCCATTAAACAGTTCCAGGCGGGAGTTGAGCTTGAAGCTGGCCGCAAGCTGAGGGCTCTTCGCACCGATCGTGGCGGTGAGTTCACGTCTACGGACTTCGGCGAGTACTGTGCGGACCGCGGCCTCAAGCACTTCCTCACAGCACCATACTCGCCACAGCAGAACGGCGTCGTTGAGCGTCGAAACCAAACAGTAGTCGCAATGGCCAGGAGTCTGCTTAAGTCCAAGGGGATGCCAGGAAGGTTTTGGGGTGAAGCTGTCACGACGGCGGTATATATCCTCAACCGTGCACCAACCCGCAGCGTCAACGGCAAGACCCCCTACGAGGCGTGGTACGGAAGGCGTCCGAATGTACACTACTTCCGTACATTTGGATGTATTGGACACGTAAAGGTGTTGAAGCGAAATGTGAAGAAGCTGGATGACAGGAGCACGCCCATGGTGCTCATTGGCTACGAGCCTGGATCCAAGGCGTATCGGATGTACGATCCGGTCGGCAGAAGGGTAAATGTGAGCCGTGACGTCGTGTTCGACGAGGAGGCAAAATGGGAGTGGAGTAAGTCGGGGGGTGACGAGAAACTGATTGCTCCTAGTGAGATATTCACCGTGGAGTACACTTCCCATTCTGTCGCATGTGATGGTCGAGACGACATGCTGACTAATAGGAGTGGCGAAGCGCCAGTACTTACTACGCCGAGTCGCGCGTCTGACAATGAACCGCTGACGCCGGTGTCTTCTCCTAGCATGCTTACACCGATGGCGACACCAGTTGCACCCGGTGGAGTTGAATTTGCAACTCCACCAAGCAATGTTTCGCCTACCTCGGACGGTGTAGTACCGCGGCACCGCACGTTGACGAACATCTACCAGAACACATCCGAGGTTGAGCACGAGTACGACGAACTGTGCCTTATGGTGGCCGAAGAACCTGGGAGTTTTGCAGAAGCCAAGAAGCACAAGTGCTGGCGTGACGCAATGCAAGAGGAGATGAAATCCATCGAGGAAAATGAGACTTGGCATCTCACCAATCTGCCAAGCGGGTGTCAACCCATAGGTTTAAAATGGGTTTACAAAATCAAGAAGGACTCGCACGGTGCTGTGGTGAAGCACAAGGCACGGCTCGTCGCAAAAGGATATGTACAACGACAGGGCGTGGATTTTGAGGAAGTATTCTCTCCGGTTGCTCGTCTTGAAACGGTGCGACTGCTCATAGCATTGGCAGCTCATGAAGGTTGGGAATTGCATCACATGGATGTCAAATCGGCATTTCTCAATGGTGTTCTTGAAGAGGAGGTCTATGTAGCCCAGCCACCCGGTTTCGTAGACGAGAACAATGAGCAAAAGGTGTTGAAACTCAGGAAAGCGCTCTATGGCCTGCGTCAGGCGCCTAGAGCATGGAACTCGAAGCTTGACAGCAGTCTCATATCAATCGGGTTTGAGAGGTGTCCATCGGAGCATGCTGTGTACAAAAGAGGTATTGGCTCATCTAGTTTACTTGTGGGTGTGTACGTCGATGATCTTATTATCACAGGATCACATCCGCAAGAAATCAGCAAGTTCAAGGAGGAGATGAAGAAATTGTTCAGCATGAGCGACCTGGGTTTGTTGAGCTACTACCTGGGCATAGAGGTGCAACAGACCAGCGACGGTGTCATCTTGAACCAGTCGGCATATGCACTGAAGATCTTGGAGAAGTGTGGCATGGTTGACTGCAATCCGTGCCAAGTTCCCATGGAAGCAAGACTCAAGTTAAGCAAGGTGAGCACCAGTCCTCCAACAAATGCCATGTTCTATAGAAGTGTCGTGGGAAGCTTGAGATATCTGGTGCATACACGGCCGGACATTGCCTACTCGGTGGGGTACGTAAGTCGTTTCATGGAGGCTCCAACAACTGAGCACCTAGGGGCCGTGAAACATATTTTGCGGTACATCTGTGGTACTCGCAATATGGGCTGCTACTATGGGAGGAGGAAAGAAGAAGGACCACACTTGATCGGGTATAGCGACAGCGACATGGCAGGCGATGTCAATGACCGCAAGAGCACAACAGGTGTGTTGTATCTGCTCGGGAGGAGCCTTATCAGCTGGCAATCTCAGAAGCAGAAGGTGGTGGCGCTATCGTCCTGCGAGGCGGAGTACATTGCCGCTACAACTGCGGCATGCCAAGGAATTTGGCTAGGACGTCTTCTCGGTGAGTTGATGAGGAAGGAGCCAACCAGCGTCACACTCAAAGTGGACAACAAGTCAGCTATATCCTTGTGCAAGAACCCTGTTTTCCATGACCGAAGCAAGCACATTGATACCCGCTATCACTTCATTAGGGAGTGCGTTGAAGGAGGTAAGATTTCGGTTGAGTACATCAACTCGGATGATCAACTTGCCGACATTCTAACAAAACCTCTCGGGCGCATCAAGTTCCTGGAGATGCGCAAGAAGATTGGATTGATTGAAGTCAAGAAAATGCAACAAGATTAGGGAGTGATTGTTAGATTAATCGTGTTGCATGTTATTCTTTTGTTTTTACTTATGCATTTGATTTGGTCACTAGCTGGACCTATTCTCTAGATGACCTATTCTCTAGCTGAGCTATTCTTTAGGAAGCAACAATAGCCAAGAGTTTAGCAAGGAACCGTTTCCAATTTGATTTGTATAAAAAGGCACCCTAAGCCCTCAAATAAGTAATCAGTTCAATTCCAGTTTTCCTCAAATAAAAAAACCAGACAGTGTTCTCGTGTAATTAATTCTCCTCTTTTTCTACTTAGTTCTCCAAGCAGATCTGGTTCTTGTCTACATATACGTACGGTAGCATGCATATTCAGAAAATGCAACCATAATAAACAGAGAATGTAAATAGGAACTTAACTTGAAGGAGAAACAAACTCAACTTATTACCATGCATATTTGTAAGGGACATTAAATATTACAACTAGGTGATCGAATCGATCATGCATGTATCTGTAAACATAAAATAGTGTACTTCAAACTGTATTAAGGGACATTAGTCGCCAGTACTCAAATTCAAGCATCATTAATGTACTACATATATATGTACAGCTGATTTTATTTGGGGGGATCGAGAAAAGAAGGCTTAAGAGAAAATTAACCGTACACAAGTGCTAATTTTGTTGCCTGTGAAATAAAATTGACTAAATCTATACGAATTACAAACACACTATATATACACACCACACGAGCAAACGTAACATCTGTGTTACAAGTGAACTGATGAAAAAAATGCGTATTCTGTGAATAAATAAATATCTATTTGTTAAAGATGGAAAATATAAAAGCTACAAATTATTGTGATATGAAATATATATAAAACGGATAAATGAATTTATCAGCAATAAGGTCTAACTCAACTCAGGAGAAAAATCAAAATCTTAGACCCATGAAATAAAGGTACTCAAACTTTAACGGAAAGCAAGTTAGAGGTTAAGTTATCATAATAACCTTCAACTGTTACATCTAACCTCAGAAATTAATACGGCATAGCGAAAGGATGTTAATTAATAATCAGTACTTAGTTAAACCTCTACAGGTTAGGTTTCAGGAAATAATAACATCACAAATTAAGGATGCAACTTAATCAGCTAGCTAGCTGAAACTAAGTGATGATAATACAATCAAAACCCTAAATATATAGCTAGAGTTCGTAGAACAAACACATTCAAATTAAAGTGCAACAAATGCTAATGTAGATAACAATAATGATATATATTCAGTTGCACCGCAATCAGCAGACATAAACCTAGATACAGATAGCCCCATCCCCATCCCTTCAACCCGATCCATTTATGGAAACCTCAAAGAGGTGAAAGGGAGAAAAAAAAAAAAGACCATTGAATTCAAAAGCAAAGCAAATTTTTTTCCATAACACTCAAAAACCCAACATATTAATTCTCTGCAAAGAGAGAAGCATCAGATTCGGAGACCCACGCCCATTTCAATCAGCCCACAATCACGAGCAAGTTAACACCAGACATGAGGTTTGAACTGAACAAAGAATCAATCACAAACTAACACAAGACAAATAGAAGCCCATCCCTTCTCATAATTACCACCAACTGCTCTCCTAGTACAATTAGAAAAAGTTGGGTCCTCCCCCAAATTTCCCAAAATAAACAGTAACCCATGGCAAAGCGCCGCATCATTCCCCTAACCCCCACGAACCCTAACCCTAATATTATCATCATGAAGTAGTCAGTGACATGTAGATTCCCAAAGTTCTGTTGCGAATTTTTACATAGCGTGAAATGGGCCAAGTACAAAATCTTATATAAGATAAAACTGCTAGCAGCAATTAATAATACATGATCACGATTAATTAGCGGAGTGCTCGACGTACCCAGGAGTACTCTAATTCCACTGGTCTTCAAACTTCGGGATCAGGTCCTGAAGAAGCCCGTGATCCCGGGCCGAGGCGCCAGCCGTCGGATNTATCTTTAACGGCCTTCTGGCCGTACTTCCTCCATCGGTAACCGTCTTCTAGATGATCAACCTCGCTCTTCGTCAAGAAAGCGAAGCGCGGCTCCCGTTGACGCTTTTGCCCCTTCTTTTTCTTCGTTGACGATCTGCGTCATAAAATTACCAAATAAGTCCTCCTAAAATTAACAAATTAGGACAAAAAAAAAAGGGAGGCATTGGTGGAGCTAGCTAGCTTACTCTTTGGCCTCCTTTCCCAAATCATCGTCGTCCACGTCGCCGTCGGGTGCGGTCACCGCTCCTTTGGCCAGATCGGGCTCGTTCGGAGCCTCGGTGGACGATGAAGAGATCGAGGATTCGTTCGGGGTCGGCGGTAAGTTTACCACCTCCGATGTTTCCGGCGGTAAGCACGGGAGATCGAAGAGAGGGTGAGGAGAGAGCTCCTGAAACCCTAGCATCTCCATGAATCCCAACGCTGAGCTCCTTTGATCTCCGCATCCGTCCGCGATGAACTGATCGAAGAATCCGCAGGAGATCTGGTCACCGAACGGTGAGGTCTCGGTTAGGCCGTTACTCTCTGTCTTCATGAATCAGAGAAGAGAAAAAATCATTTAGGGTTTGGTTTATGTTGATGGAGCTTGGGAACGGAAAGGAATAGAGAGTAGCTAGAAAGGAGATTTTGAGGTTTTATTATTATTATTATTATTATTATCTTTTTTTATGGCTTTGGAAGGCGGGGGAGGGTGACTGGCGATAGGCGGTGGTAAAAAGAGTACGGAAGTGGGAGCACTAAATGCGGGCGACGGTCTTGTAGTGCATGTCGACGGATGCTTTCATACTTATAACAGTAGGGAGAGCGGGTTTTGACTGGGTATGAAATGTTTGTCCTCACACGTGTCAGTGCGACGGCTTTGAGCTGAGGAGCGTGCGAACGCGTTCGCGCGCGTGCGAACGTTCGATTGAGCTAATGGAGAGAAGTAATGGCGCGTTTATAAAAAGGGAAAATTGCTTCTAGCCATCAAAATAACAACTATTCTTTCCCCACCTAAGAATTTTTCAACACTCTCAAAATCCTCGAAAGCAAAGTCACAATTCTCTTAGCCTCAAAAACATAAAGCTCAAGAGTTTAAAACATGTGAAGACAATAATACTCTCTCTCTCTCTCTCTCTCTCTCTCTCTCTCTCTCTCTCTCTCATGATGTCAATGTGATTATTTGAAATGGGTTTTGGGGGTGGGGGGAATTCTAGTTCCCTCAAAATTTATATATTGTTGTGATCTTGAAGACGGTGATGACGAAGACGGTCGATCGTTTAAGACGAAGAAGATTGGGATCAATGTGAGTTACGATGGATTAAACGTCACCATTTCAAAGAAAAAAGCGAGAACCCTGGCGACTCCTGGTGTAATTTTCCCCCTTTTTTAGCTTTTACTTGAATCTGATGCTATATATTTTTATTATTTTACATATTGTTGTAATTTTTTTTAAAATCGATGACTTGAAATTAAAGTAGAGTATGTAAATTTATATATTGTTGTTATTTTACTATAATGAGTTTGTTATTAAGGTTATGAATTGGTTGTGAATGAAGGTTACGAGTTAGTTATCAAGGTTACCAGTTGGTTGTCAATGTTACAAGTTGGTTGTCAAGTTTACCAGTTGGTTGTCAATGTTACAAATTGGTTGTCAATGTTACGAGTTGGTTGTGAAGAATACGAGTTGGTTGTCAAGGTTACGAGTTGGTTATGAAGGTTATCGTTGGTTGTGAAGGTTATGCGTTGGTTGTGAATGTTACGAGTTGTTTGTGAAGGTTACGAGTTGGTTATGAACCTTGACAATGAGTTGATTGTGATTGTTGTTAACTAACATTCACGACCAATTCATAACATTCACAACTAACTCATTGCCGAGGTTCACAACCAACTCGTAACCTTCACAACCAACTCGTAATCTTGACAATCAACTCGTAAACTTCACAACCAACTAGTAATCTTCAAAACCAACTCGTAATCTTTCTTCACAACCAACTCATAACCTTAACAACAAACTTATTATAGTAAAATGACAACAATATATAAATTTATAGAATCTGGTTTAATCTCAAGTCATCGATATTAAAAAAATTTATAACAATATGTAAAATAACAAAAAAATATAACACTCAGATTCAAGTACAAGTAAAAAAAGGGGGGGGAAATTACGTCGGGAGTCGCCGGAGTTCCCGCCTTTTTCTTCGAAACAACGACGCTGAACCCTCGCAACTCGTCATCATCATCTTCAAGATCGCAGTTTTCTTCGCCTCATGAACGAACGCCGAGAAAGTTCCATCGCCGATGTCGACGTCATTTAAAAAATTTAGAGGAACTAGAATTTCCCCCTTAAAACTCATTTTAAATCATCAGAGTGACATCATGAAGAGAGAGAGAGAGAGAGAGAGAGAGAGAGAGAGGGAGGGGGGGGGTAGAGAGAGAGAAATGATGAGAGAGAGAGAGAGAGAGAGAGAGAGAGAGGGAGGGGGGGGTTAGAGAGAGAGAAATGATATTATGGTCTTCACATGTTTTAAACTCTTGAGTTTTATGTTTTGGGGCTCAGAGAATTCTGGATTTGCTTTTGGGGGTTTTGGAAGTGTTGAAAAAAGTCTTGAGTGGGGAAAGAATAGTTATTATTATTTTAGGGACTAGAAGCAATTTTCCCTTATAAAAATGTCAAATACTGGGCTAGAGTCAGTCTTAGCTTAATTTCGTCCTAAATTATTTTTAGTTTGGATCAAGAGAGAACTGGTCCAAACTAAAACTAGTTTTGAAAAGTTTTTTTTCCTACGTATAAAAGGTAATCCTTGCTTAGTTTTAGAGGATTGCCAAATATACCATAAGAATTAGCTTTCGTAATTAACAAAAACTATGGTTATATGAGAGAAATGAACGCGAGAAAAATTCAAAATTTAATTGATAAACATCAAATTTTCTTTCATTAGATTTTGCACGTATAAATGCTCGCTTTACACGTACGTGCCTGGTGTGAAAAGAGATCAGAGTTCGTACTCTTCTTGAGCCGGAGTGTCTGCGGTCCCAGTAGATGGGGTCGACACGCAAACACCGTCAAAATTATGCCTTTCTCCATAAAAAGACACATCATTGCAAACTTTTTTAATTAATCACATCATGTACACAAAGGGCCCTACAAAGTTATTGTAGCCAGAGGAAACATTATATAAGATAATATCTGCTATCACAAATTTAATTATAATAATTAAACTAGTATAGCTGTCACCCTCTTCTTTCATCACATATCAGATATTATAGAGGAAGCTAGGTCGTTAGATTTGTTTCTCCAAATTATCTACTAGAAACTTGAATTGTAAAGAAAAGAAGTAACTAAATTTTAATCTAGGACAATATATTAATCTATAGGCTACAAATTTTTTTAAATACAAATTAGAATTTAATAATTTCAATTAGCGAGGCATAATTCTGGTTAAAGATTCAATTTTAATTTGGCTCTAACATTTTTCACTCCTAGAAAAACAATGGATTAAGTTCCTTAATTTTATTTGTAAAATTTTGATTATATTTTGCATGATATTTATCGTTTCTTTTGTTTCTGGATATTATGTTAATCGAATCAAAGGAGAACATTATGTTTGGATCGTGTCTTTGATTCTTTGTATAACTTCATGAGAATTAGATAGGGTTAAAAATCTATCATGATTAGAAGATTGAGTCCCATCATGATTAGGAATTTAAAACATATTCTAATTAGGAAGTTAGGCAAGAGATAGAGTTTTAGTTTCCCTCTATATATTCTTCTATGGTTGGAGGAAAAACTAAGAAGATGAGAGAGAGTCAATATTCTTGTAATCTAGGGTTAGCAGAGGGCGTAGCCTGATTTAAGAATATTGTGCAAGAGGTGAGGGTTTCGTAGTCTTTGTCCGTGTAAAAAATTACATTATTGGGAGAGAATTTTACAGTCCTTGTTCGTTTAAAAGATTGTAATGAGAGGAATTTGGAGAGAATATGAGAGTTGATTACGTATGTGACATTGAGAGATTGAGAGACGAGAGTTAAGTGGTTCCTCTTGTAGTTCTTTTTTTTTGTCAATGAAAAAATATATTCATTATACCAAGTATGAGAGTTTTATCGTACATCAATGTCACACTTTGACAACAAGAAGTCTGGTAATGAAACCCAGACTGAGCAAACTATAAACTCTCTATATAATCCCTAACATGATTTGGGATGTCTTCATTCAAAATTTTTGCAAAAATTGTAATCTTCACTACACGAAAAAGCTTTTCAGGGTCTCTAGCTTTGTGCTGAAATATTCTGAGGTTTCTCTCCTGCCATATTAGATAAACAGCAGCCGACAAAGCCATCCTCTTCAATTTTTTCTTAAAACCAATCCCTTTTAGATTACTATACCATGTTGTTAATTGATTCCACTTGCAAGATTTCCATCTGTAGCTAAGCCAATCCATGATCTTATTCCAAACAGTTGCAGAGTATTGGCATTCAAAATAGAGGTGCTCACAGGTTTCCATCTGACGAATATTGGAGCATAAAACACACTGGCTGGTACTTAATATTCTCATCCTGCACAGTCTATTCTGTGTTAACAACCTGGAATGAGAGGCCAGAATAGTAGGATGATAATCATATTTTATTATAATTTTATATCCTCATTATCTATTTTATATGAATAAATATACCACTAATAATTGTTTTTATCTTTTAATTGTAGGTTAATGAAGAATAAATCTCAAACTCTCATCTCTCAACAAAAACCCATCGATTAAATGAAGAAATGAATCAAAGAAGCCCATTGAAAAATCAATTTTCAAATTATCCAAAAGTCCAGAATCAAGCCGAGTAGCCGGTAGAAGCCGGAGAAAATCAAAAATCCAATATGAAAAGAAATCATATTCAAAATGGTTGGCCACAAAGAAATGACGATATCTCCTAATCCGGAAGGCGGAATTTAACATATAATATATGAAAATCGCCTATCTCGACGAGAGGAAGCTATCCGTGAAATCAGAATTTGGAAATAATGAGTATCAATATCGGCATCGATGTGGGCATCGATACCTGCATCGATACCTGCATCGATGCCGGATTACTGTAGCGCGCGTCAATGGCTGATTTTGCTTGTCTTGGGGCTCAAGTTTGATCTAATTGCTCTCATTCTTTGATGTTTACTATAAATAGGGGTAGAGAGTGAGGGGTTAGGGTGTGAAAACTTTTGTAACTCCTTTTGGAGAGGAGGGCTACTCTTAATTGAGAAGGCCTTCTAAAATTATAACTTTTGTTGCAATTAATAATAATAATTTTTTCACCACTTTACATTTTTCTCTTCTTCTCTTTGTTGGATGATGAAGATGAAGATGAAGATGGAGGATTATTTGAAGGTTTGCATTTCTTTCTTTTTCTCTTTTATTGCTTATTAGTTTAGATTTATTTCTATGCTTGTAGTTAGATTTTATTTTCTTGTTAAATAGCCAAGATGCTAGAACCCTCTTGCCTTAGATTTATTTTATGCTTATAGAGTAGATTTATTTTCGTGCATTTAATTCTTGTAATTTTATTTTGTAGTTTAGATTTTGTAATTTATTTTGTAGTTAGATTTTAATTTCTTATACTATTCACCTTGAGACTAGAACCCTCTTGGGTTTAGTTTTTCTTTTTATTTCTTTTTATTTTGTTTGATTCGCCTTTAGGCTAGAACCCTCTAGGAATCACCCTTTTCTAAGAAGTGGGTTCAATTTTAGATTATCCATATCTATAATTGAATCCACCATCTTTAATTTCTTGCATTTTCTTTTGAATTTTGTTCTTCATTCTTGATTTTTCATTTATTTCTTGATTTTATTCATTTTTCCTTCTTGCCTTATTGATCACACTCATTCTTTGTCACATCCACTCTCACTTAAATTTTGTGCCGTTTCACGCACTATCACTTTCACTCTCATTATCTCTCCACAATCACATTTACTCATCACTCCTATTTGTCACGCACACAAAATAAGAACCGATTTTATATTTTCTCCTACAAAACACCTTCCTCGTGGGATCGATATCTTAAATACTATAACTTGACACGGTTGTGCACTTGCAACCTTTTTGGTACATGTTTATGCTGCATCATAGGAGGAGCTTGCTGATTTATCTTTCTATACACTGAAGAAATACTGATTGAACCATTGACACAATATCCAGCAACAACATTTAGAAGATTATCAACATTTCCAAATTTTCCTATCAACAAATCCCTCACTCTTAGTAGCTGCTTCCACATCCATGAATCATTTTCCTTTACTTGAACTTGCCAAATATTATTTTGTCTTAGGTAGTTTCCATGCACCCATTTGATCCAAAGAATGTCTTTTTTGAGATGAATTAACCAAAGGAGTTTAGCAGCAGAAGCATGATTCCATACATTTGCAGAAAAAACTCTAAGTCCTCCATGCTCCAGGTCCTGGCAGATAGAAGACCAAGATACCAGGGGGATTTTATGCCCCTATAGGAATTCAGCACACATGCTATCAATCTTCTCAAGCACTTTGATTGGCAATATGTAATTGCTAGTCCAGAAAATCTGAATTCCTAGAATAACTGACTTGATCAATTGCAATCTGCCAGCATAGGACAGAGTTCTTCTATTTTGCCAGCTTTGAAATTGTTCTGATATTTTGTTTATAAGTGGAGAGCAGTCCAGCCATGAGAGCCTCTTTGAGATAAGAGGAACACCCAAGTATCTTATAGGGAGAACACATTCTGGAAAGTTGAGATAGGAGCTTATCTGAACTTTCAAATCATCACCAATACCACTCATATATAATGAGCATTTGGCAGAGTTTGGTTCCAAACCAGAGACTTGACTGAATTCCTTAAGACAATCATTTAATCTTGAAACTGAGTTCATGTCAGCTTTGCAAAATAATAGAAGGTCATCTGCAAATAGTAGATGAGTAATTTTTATTCTAGAGCATTTGGGATGAAATCTAAATAACCTGTCTTCCTTAAGAAAATCCAGCCTCCTTGATAGATACTTCATTCCAATTACAAATAGGTAGGGGGATAATGGATCTCCTTGTCTAAGTCCTCTTGCACCTTGAAAACATACATGAAGTGTACCATTGATTGATAGTGAGTACTTTGGGGTTGAGATGCATTCCATGATCCATTAAATTACAGTTTCAGGAAAATCCAGTCCTGTCAACATGTATCTTATGAACTCCCAATTAATGGTGTCAAATGCCTTTCTCAAGTCAATGTTTAAAATGGCTCTTGGAGAAGTGTTTTTCCTGTTATAGTGCTTGATGAGCTCATGTGCTAAGAGAATATTACCAGAGATAAACCTCCCCTTAACAAATGCACTTTGAGCATCATTAACTAGGTATCCCATGACCTTTTGAATTCTACCAGCAATGATTTTTGATATTATTTTGTACACACAGTTGCAGCAAGCAATTGGTCTAAATTCATTAGCTGATATAGGATTGAGAACTTTTGGCACCAAAGTAATAGATGTAGTATTAAATGTACCTAGCAATTTTCCTGATCTGAAAAATTCCTCAACTGCTGCATATAGATCTTCTCCAATTACATTCCAAGAAGCCTTGTAAAAGAGAGCACCAAATCCATCAGGACCAGGACTCTTATCATTTGACATAGAGAAAACTGTTTCTTTAATTTCCTCCCTTGATACATGCAAACCAAGCATAGATTTTTGATCAGATGTGAGCAGAGGACCATTTTTAATCACCTCAGTATTTGGTATAGAAGTTGGAACTGAAGTACCCAGAAGATTTTTATAGTATTCTAAAAATTCTTCAGTGATCTCTGATTTTTCTGTGATTCTGACACCATTTCTATCATATATAGAAAGAATTATGTTATGATGTCTTTTCTTTTTCATGATAGAGTGGAAAAATTGTGAGCTTTTATCCCCATGTAATCCCCATTTAATATTTTCTCTCTGCCTGTAGAAAGATGTTTCACAATCCAAGAGTCTGACATATTTGTTTAAGCAGTCTTTTTCCTTAGATATCAGTTCAGGGTTGAAAAGATCTTCATTAAGTAGCCCTTGAATGTTAGCTAGTTCACTTTTGGCTCTATCCACTTGCTCACTTATATTCATGAAATGTTTCTTATTTAGCTCCTTTAGTACAGGTTTGAGCCTTTTGAGCTTAGTGTGAAATTTGTACATCTCATACCCATATAATTCTTGATCCCATATTGACCTGATTGTTGAAATAAACTATGAATGCTTAGCCCACATGTTGAAAATTTTGAAAGGCCTTTTACCCTCAGTCACATCATCTCCTATTGTTAATAGAGCAGGAGAGTGGTCAGAGCAACTAGGATTGAGGAATTCCACTTGACTGGATGTATAATTGTGGATCCATTCATCATTTACCAAGCATCTGTCCAATCTAGACCATATTCTTGAATCAGCTTCTTGCTTATTGCACCAAGTGAAAAAACAACCTGTAGATCTAATATGAGTTAGTTGACTTGAACTGATAAAGCTCTGAAAATCCTCAGTATCAGCTTGAGAGATTGGTGCACCTCCTATCTTTTCATCACTGCTAATAATAGCATTAAAATCCCCTCCAATCACCCAGGGACAATTGACATTTTGCTTATATGCTAATAAATCATTCCAAAGGGTCTTCCTGGCTATCATTTGATTAAGAGCATATACTATAGTGCACAAACATGTAATTCTGCCATCTCTGGAGACAATAGAGCATGTCATATATTGATCAGATGATACAACATTTTGAACTGTGAGGACTTCATTATCCCAGAGAATCCATATCCTTCCCTTTATAGCTCCTTGAGCATTTGAGATCCATTTCCAGTCTTTTGTTATTTTTCTTGCCAGCATCTGCATTTTGCTTTCGGGGAGTTTTGTTTCCAAAAGAGCAAGGAATGAGATATTATAATCTTGTATAAGTTGCTTCACAATCCTATGTTTAGAGGATTTATTAAACCCTCTAATATTCCAAATTGCAAAATGCATTATTTGGATGTCCCCCTTTATCTTCACCAGGGGGATCAGATTGTTGCTCCAGAAGAGAGAATAGAGATGATTGACTGCATGTAGTATCTTTCCCAGAAAATATTACTCTTTTTGCTAAATTAGATCTATTGACATTTGTAAATCCAGATGTATTAACCAGAGGTGATGAAAATCGAAATACCTGATTCCCAGCTGTAGGCATCGAAAATTGCCTATAGGTCTTCACGAACAGCTCAGTGTTAAGCAACGACGATGAACGTCACTATCCGGTCCACAAGAGTTCGATTGATGTCGGTGAATGCTTGAAGTGAATCGACGAACTACATGGACTAACAGAATCTCGGAATAACGAAGGTACGGGCTAATCAGGAGCCCCGCGATGTTTACAAAAAGAACAATGCCCTTCATGTCTCATTCAATCTACAGATGATCCAACCATCGGAGCTGATAGAACTCATTGTCGGCTTTCCAACGCACTTTAAATCATTCAAATCCGAGTTCGGACGAAGAATTTACAGTGAAAACAAACTTATACACCATAACAGAGTGTCTAGGACCAACGAGACACCCTAAGGTGTCTCGGCCAAAGCCGAGACACCCTAGGGTGTCTCGGCCCAAACCGAGACACCCTAGGGTGTCTCGGATCAAGGGGAGACACCCTAGGGTGTCTCGGATCAAGTGGAGACATCCTGGGGTGTCTCCAACGTAGATTTGGGCCTTTAGGTGGTTTTAACCGCTCCAAACTCCCCCGAGCCTATAAATACAAGCCTCAGGCCCTCATTTTTCAAGATCTGGAATTCTCGTGCCTCAGCGAAGCCCTGCCGGATTGAAGACTTAAAGTGCACAGATTTCAGAGAGGAGGAGGAGAGATCGGATCGAGTTCTTCAACGCAAGAGACAGAGATTCGTCAGATCTACAGTTTCTCGGATCCGTTCCTTAGGATTATCCCGTTGCGGTAATCTTAAGAAGAGTGATTATCTCGCTTCGCCGAGATAAGAGCTACAGTTTCTCAATCCCTTCACGGATAGACGAAGCTCTGCCCAATTTTTTTAGCAATCAGATCTGATCGACGGTGGTCCACGGATAAACCCCGACACATGCAAAGATCTCACGCAAGCAGAAGACCGATAAAGGATCTCTACGTTTGTTTGATAAAGTTGTAAACTTTTTTTTGTTTTCATTGTGTAAAAGTCTTATAAAAAGACTGATTTTTGTATTCGTTGTAAACGTATGAAGTTTGTAATGAATCTCGCAATAAAACAAGCAACTTTTTTCGCAAACCATCTGGCGACCACAGTGGGAGCCAACAGCTTCGTTGCCGAAGCTGTCGTGCCACAACCGACGATCAAGATCCCGGTGCTCGAAGAGGTCGAATACGAGTTCGACCAGCAGAAGTTCGAGGAGTATGTCTCCTCCTCCTCCTCCTCCTCCAGATCCGCCTCTCCTTGCAAGTGCAGGAAGGCCTCCTCCTCCCAGAAGATCCATCGGTCTCCAGATCTGAAGAACCAAGAAATCGATCTCCCCATAGCCGATGCTACAGTCGTACCTTGCAATGGTCCGCCGGCACCCAATGAGACCAGATCTGCAGATCTGAACTCCTTCACGATTAAGGAGTCGATTGCTGAAGGCGCACCAACTCTATCAAAGAGAGCACGTCAAAGGAAACGCCAACGCCTCACGCGCCAATTCGCTAACGCTTTGGATCAGGTGGATGGACTCCATTACCAAGCAGATCTGGAGTTCAGAAAGCGCCAAGTGGCTAATCTGTTGCTACGACCAGCATCGGAATCCTCCTCTCGATCTCTAATTAACGAATGAGTTCGTGTTAAAAGAACCCGCTCAACTCTCGAGGAGCGAATCCAGAAGCGCCCCGCCTTGCTTGCGCATGCCCAGACCCTTGTGCGAAAAGCACAGGAAATGCAAAAGAAAGAGGCAGTTAAGAGATCGCCGAGATCCAAACAAGTTTGGGTGCCGAAGGCTAAGTCAGCGTCCCTACCCGATAAAATACATCAGTTGTGTCTCTCGGTTGAGTCCAGATCCAAAGCTGGTTCCCAGCTTTCGTCGAGTTCAGATCTCGTTCCTTTTAATCACGTACCTCCGGTGAAGCTCCGTAACAATATGGACATATCCAGAGGTAGGAAAGTGGTAGCGGAACGCCTGAGTCTTTTGCACGAGGATCAAGGCAAAGCACCTATTAAAGAACACTTGGGACCATTGAAGGAACCCCGAGCAAACATCCGGACTGGGGGTTGTACACAACCTCCTAACAAATTCCAACAACGGCCCGCTTGGCGGTGCGTGCAGAAAACCAGGAGACCATTGAGGTTTCACCTTCACAAGGGTGTGATTCCAAACGTGTGACTCCTGTAAATGCCAACAAGGCAATGTTTACTCAGAGGAAAACGCGTCAAATAGAAAAATACGTTATACCTGAGAATTTATGTAAACAGCCGATAGGTTGCTCTGACCGCAACGTCGATGAGTTGTACTATCGGACCGGGGGTACGAATAAATCTCGAAAGAGAAGTACCCGGGAAGCGGACTCTCACTGTCCGTGCATCAAAATTATCAAGGCAATATTATCATCGTGTAGCTACCCCAAGACCGCTTTACAGAGGGTCTCGGTATTCGAGAGGATCTCCGATGGAATGACGAAGCCCAAATCAAGGCGTTTCCACCAAAGAGGATCGGTTGATCAAGATGATGAATTCCCAGAAGTTACCATCAACATGGTCAATAAGGAAAAATCTCCGATTGTTTCAAGTGGTTCCAACCATAATTTCTCTCCAGGAAGAAGAGTCAGTTCGGGAATAACCCAACAAATATCTCAGCTTCAGCTAGAAACCGTTGGACATAATGATTACCAGGGCATCCATGAAAGAATACATTCCGATGACGAACTCTCAGATTCTTATTCCGCAATCGCCTCTGATGATACAACGTCTAGCATAGGATAAGCTCGGGAAGTGTTCATGGTCAACACCGAGCAAATAGCCAAAATCATTGAGGATGCTCTAGCCAAGCAGAAAGAAGCATTCAAAATTGAAATGGAAATGACCATGCAGGAGATGAGACAAATGCACGACCAACAAATCCGAGCTTTGTCAAATCAGCTAGTTGAATCCAGCCGTCGTACCCAGAACGCCACAATTGACAGCGATCCAGAAGTGGATGAAATCATCATGGCCGATGCACCTCCCAAAAATACTGGGTGTGGTTCAAATGCACACCCTACAGATAACATCCCAAAAATACTGGGTGTGGTTCAAATGCACACCCTACAGATAACAACGCTGGGGGTGGTTCTGCCAAAGATAATAACACAGATAACAACGCTGGGGGTGGTTCTGCCAAAGATAATAACACTGGGGGTGGCCGTATTATTCCTCTCGGAAATTATCCAAAACAGGATATAGGTGAGGACGAAAAGATGAAGGATCTCGAAAGCAAAATTAATGCTTTAATGTCTACTCAAGAGGTAAAGAAGACCGGCATTCTATGTCCATACCCATGAGAATGGGAATCAATCCCCTATCCGGCGAAGTTCAGTCTAATTAACTTCACGCCGTTTAATGGGAAGGGTTCACCCACTCAGCATTTGATTTACTTCAAATCGCACCTAGGAGTCATCTCTAGTAATGAGCCTCTGATGGTATGGTCCTTCGTTGGCACTCTTCGTGGAGCCGCCTTCGATTGGTATCGCCGCCTCAAGCCAGGAAGCGTGAATAGCTGGGACGACATGGAAACTAAGTTCCTCACTAATTTCTTCGATGACGACACCGAGATATCCATCGGAACGTTGCTCGATGAGAAAAAAAAAGACGGGAAATTGGTCGACACCTTCGTCAAAAGGTTTCGGAACAAGGCGATGAACTGTCGGGACCCGATTACTGAGGAGTTCATTCTCCAGACTTGCCACAACAACCTCACATTAGACGTATTGGAGGCAATGGGAACAACACCGTCTAACACTTGAAAAGACTTGAAGGTGCGCGGGGAACAAGCCGAACGCTTCCTCCAAAGGAAGAAAGCCGAGAGGAGCCAACCAACGGCGAATCTTCCGAACTCGAACTTTGCCTCTCGTGGTAAGGGCAAGGCACCTGCAGCTGTTGTTGGTGCTAATCGAATGTCACAACAGCAATCCCGAAGGCAGCAAAAGACTTCGGACCCGAGACTCAAGAAAAAGTATTCCTTCAAGGACGAAGACGTTCCAGCCATCTTCGAATCCCTCCTTGGAAGCAACAAGATCAAGCTACCACCTATCACAAATCAGGAGGAAGCTGACAACACTACGGACTCAAAGTACTGTGCATACAACAGGAGGGTCGTTCATCCCACCAAGGAGTGCTTTGCTCTTAAGAATAGCATCCAAACCTTGGTTGAAGCCGGTGTTATATCACTCAATTAAGTCGAAGCAACACTCCAAAGAGTATACGAGTATAAACTGCTTCTCAATCCTCCAACAAGTGCATGAGGTTAAACTGCTTCCTTACATACTCCAACAAGTATATGAGTCTAAACTGTTTCCTTTCTTTCACGGGAAGTTCCTGGAGAATACTATGCCTGATATTCTTAAGGATAACCCGGACACCCAACTGAGTACAATGTCGGACCCAGTTCCATAAGGGAAGCTGGGGGTGGATTATTCATGTATCGGCAAGTTCTCGAAAGAATACCACGGGTGATATTCTTAGGGATAACCCAATCACTACAAAAGTGATAATTAAAACATCCACATTTAAACTCTAAAGCTTGGAATGTTTTCTATTATTGTTATCAAATTCACTAATTCTCATGAGTTATCTTGTTGAGACGAGATTCGATCCTTTTGACAGATTAATCTTTCCTCACAAAAATACCCCACTGATCAAGTCAATTGATGGGCCAATTCATGGCAATTTCCAAAGCTTGACGTGTTAAGTCCTGATTACTTAACGTCAAAACTCTTCATCGAGTGGCCAGTACAAACTAGTATTTCTACTGCTACTTGTATTCCACTCCCTTTGCTTTCAGGTCAAACCTATAAAAGTTAGGGCCACAACCAAAATCCCCTCTCGATTCCCTTAATGAACAAGAGGCCCATAAATTGAGCGATCAAACCTTCCTACAGTTAGGATCGTCTTAAACCTCCCATTCGGTCAAACCTTCCTACAGTTAGGACCAAAACCAAAACCCCCTCTTGATTCCCTCAATGAACGAGAGGTCCACAAATCGAGCGATCAAACCTTCCTACAGTTAGGATCTCTTAAAACTCCTGCTTGGTCAAACCTTCCGACAGTTAAGACCAAAACCACAATTCACTCTCGATAAATGAGAAATTCATCTTTAGTTCGATAATCAAACATTCCGACAGTTAGGGTTATCTGAATCTTTTCGATTCTCGGAGTGGAGATCCCACTCTTAGTTTCACCTTTCCGGATTCTGGGGGTGGAGACCCCACCTCGAGTCTCCTTTCCAGCTGAAGATAGAATATAAAATTCTTCTTCCTCAGTGTCAGGAGATAGAATATAAAATTCTTCCTCTCCCATTTCGTGTTCGTCTTTACCCCAAGAGAAGACACCACCTTTTTCAACTCCCAAAATCTGTGCCTCACAGGTACGGGGAACTTTCATCCCGAATCCTAAGTATGGATGAGTCAACGCCTAATACACGTTGTCGGATGCCATATTCCCGTAAGAAATGGCGAAGTTTATGTATTCAAAATCATAGTATTAAGTCTAAGAGAAGCAATTCTCTTAGCACAACGTTACATGTGAAACAGGTTTTAATAATTCACATGCTATCCCGATTCAAATGGTAATCGGTAAAGGCACGTCAAACCCGTTGATGGTTGGGGGTTTGCCAAAAATCCCAAAGTCTATGCCTAACACGCGTTGCCGGTTTAGCCTTTCACCGATTGAAAAAGACACCAGAGTACAATTCTGGGGACTTTCATCCCGAATCCTAAGTAGGGATGAGTCAACGTCTAATACGCGTTGCCGGATGCCATATTCCCGTAAGAAATGGCGAAGTCTATGTATTCAAAATCATAGCATTAAGTCTAAGAGAAGCAATTCTCTTAGCACAACGTTACATGTGAAACGGGTTTTAATAATTCACATGCTAGCCCGATTCAAACGGTAATCGGTAAAGGCACGTCAAACCCGTTGATGGCTGGGGGTTTGCCAAAAATCCCAAAGTCTATGTCTAACACGCATTGCCGGTTAGTCTTTGACCGTAAAAAGGACAAAAGACCACATATTCAACATTGTGGCAGGTTGTTATTAATAACACCATAATCCGTGCCTCACACGTATGGGGAATTTTATCCTGAAGCCTAAGCAGGGATAAGTCAACGCCTAACACGCGTTACCGGTTTAGTCTTTTACCGATTGAAGAAGACACCAGAATCCGAGTCTGAGGATTTTTATCCTGAATCCTAAGTAAGGATAAGTCAACGCCTAACACGTGTTGTCGGGTAGTCTATTCCCGTGAGAAAAACGAAGCCTACGTATTCAATGTCGTAGCACTAAAAGAGTTAACTCTTTTAGCACAACGTTATGTGCAGAACAGATCTAAACAATCTGCATGCTAGCCCGACTCAAACGGTAGTCGGTAAAGGCTCATCAAACCCGTTGATGGCTGAGAATTTGCCAAAAATTCTATAAGTACAGTCATTGATGCATCAGCTCTGTTAGTTGGTCTCGTGACTCAATTATCCAACAACATTAAGATAAGATCCACAAATGCAGATGAATCAGCTTTAACAGTTGGTCCTGCAACCTCGATACTTAGGACCGCCGTGCTCCAATACCTTAAGAGCTTAAACTGTGTATACTCCAATAAACGTACGAGTATAAACTGTGTCAACGTACGACGTTCGAAACCCTAGGGTCAACGCCGGTCAACGCGTAACCCTAGGTCAACGCCGGTCAACGCCGGTCAACGCGTTGCGATCAAAAAGTCAACGCGAATCAATATATCATGATGGAGATAGTCAGTTCAAAGTCAACTCAATGACACAAGCCAAACTCAACTCACTGGTGGTAGACTCGAGACTCCGACGACGGCCAAGCGATAAACGCAGCGCCGGAAGGACTTCGGCTATTCGTCAAAACATTGGATAGACCGAAAATCGAAGGAGCCAAGAGTTGAAACTAGCTACAGGTCCTTTACGCCGACTGAAGGCTGGACCAATCACATCCAAAGTATTCCAGCTTCTTCTATAAAAGAAACGAGTCTGGAACGCTTTAGAGGGGGTATCTGTAGGCATCGAAAATTGCCTATAGGTCTCCACGAACAGCTCAGTATTAAGGAACGATGATGAACGTCACTATCCAGTCCACAAGAGTTCGATTGATGTCGGTGAACGCTTGAAGTGAATCGACGAACTACATGGAGTAACAGAATCTCGGAATAACGAAGGTACGGGCTAATTGGGAGCCCCGCGATGTTTATAAAAAGAACAATGCCCTTCGTGTCTCATTCACTCTACAGATGATCCAACCATCGGAGCTGATAGAACTCCTTGTTGGCTTTCCAATGCACTTCGAATCACTCAAATCCGAGTTCGGACGAAGAATTTACAGCGAAAACAAACTTATACACCATAACGGAGTGTCTCGGATCAAGGGGAAACGTAGATTTGGGCCTTTAGGTGGTTTTAACCGCTCCAAACTCCCCCGAGCCTATAAATACAAGCCTCTGGCCCTCATTTTTCAAGATCTGGAATTCTCGTGCCTCGACGAAGCCCTGCCAGATTGAAGACTTAAAGTGTACATATTTCAGAGAGGAGGAGGAGAGATCGGATCGAGTTCTTCAACGCAAGAGACAGAGATTCGTCAGATCTACAGTTTCCCGGATCCGTTCCTTAGGATTATCCCGTTGCGGTAATCTTAAGAAGAGTGATTATCTCGCTTCGCCGAGATAAGAGCTACAGTTTCTCAATCCCTTCACGGATAGATGAAGCTCTGCCCAATTTTTTCAGCAATCAGATCTGATCGACGGTGGTCCACGGATAAACCCCGGCACAGGCAAAGATCCCACGCAAGCAGAAGACCGATAAACGATCTCTGCGTTTGTTTGATAAAGTTGTAAACTTTTTTTTGTTTTCATTGTGTAAAAGTCTTATAAAAAGACTGATTTTTGTATTCGTTGTAAACGTATGAAGTTTGTAATGAATCTCGTAATAAAACAAGCAATTTTTTCCGCAAACACCAGCCCATTGTTGTGCATGTTTTGTAGTATTCTGCTTAAGGTAGCCACCAGTATCTTTCATTCCCTGATTTGATATATTTGGAGCAATTTCTTTCTCATTTACAAGATTTTCTGTTATGTTTCTGTCTCTGGGAGTCTGAGTATCAGTCTGTGCATGTTTTGCTACAGGAATTGCAGAATCACTCTTAGATGTTTCTCCTCTAGTCCTATTTTGAATTGTAGAGTCATTTACCATTTCATAATGCTCTGAGTTAGCCTGAGTTTCTTTTCCAACCTGCTTCTTAATAGGTACCCACACTTTTTTAGCTCTGTTTCTCCTGCATTGCTCAATGTTATGCCCAACCATACTACATAAGGTACACCATCTAGGTTTAAATTCATACAATACTGGCTGAGTATAATTCCTTCCATCAGGCCCTTGGATAATCAATTGATCTGGCAATGGCTCCTTCAATGGAAATTTAACTTCCAATAGAACTCTTGCATAGCTCAGCCTCTGCCTGGTAGCTGTTAGCTTATCAGTTGCAATTGGTTTTCCAATAAGGCTAGCAACCTTACTAATACCAGTTGAGCTCCATAGATTAAGCCGCAAATTTGGAAATTGAACCCACATTGGGTAGTAGAAATCCTGCAGGTTTTCTAAATCTGTGTCAATACTCCATGGCTTTAACATCAAAGGCCTAGATCCAAAGAACCAAGGACCAGCCTCTAAGACATCTCGCATTTGTTTCTCAGTTTGAAAATAAAAAAGAAACAATCCTTGCTTGATAATGGAGATCTTCAGAATTGAAATTTTACCCCAAAATTTGTTAACAAAAGATTCCATAGCCTTGAATTTAGTATTTAACCCAATAACATGCCCTAATAAAGCAGATTTCCAAAGAACTTCTCCTTCTGTCCATTCTTCAGTATTGAATGAAACAGTATTAGATTGAGCAGATGGAAAAAAACTTAGAGAAAGTCCATTGCCAGATTTCCTGTTATCAACGAAAAGACTAACAAAAGACTTTCGAGGTTCAGGCTCAGTATTCTCCTTCAATTCCTCATCAATCAAATTTTCATTAGCTGATTTTTCCAAATTTTCATCAACAGATTTATCTATTACCTCTGTTTCTAGATCTATAGATTTATCAGCTCTATTTTCTAGATGAGAAGAATCCTCAATGTTTTCAGCATCCAGATTAATAATATCGAATTCAAAATCATCATCGGCTTCATCATCTGCCTGTAGAGTAGAATTAGAAGAACTTAGCTGTCTAATGGCTTGAATTCCAAAGCTCTATTGATGATGAAGATCTGAAATAGGATCAGATCTAGCAAGGATTTCTTCCATTAGCATTTTCCTCTTAGCTCCCTTTGGACCTGTACTTTCCATCTCTGCAGATATTGAAGATCTCACCTCAGAAGCATCATCAACAACTTGAGAAGGATAAACAAAGATCGAATCTCTAATATCACTAGCACTGGCCATGGATTTCTTGTTGCTATTCTTCTTCTTCTTCTTCATTTGAAAACTTGGCGGAGGTGCACGATAGCTAGGAAATCACCCGCTAAAATGCACCTGCTAACCGCCCCTTATTGTGCATGTTTTGTAGTATTCCTCTTGTAGTTCTCCCTTATACATAGTTGATTTCTTGTATTATTGGTCGTGGACGCAGGTCAAAGTTGGTCGACCGAACTACGTAAAACTCGGTGTTCTTTCTTCTTGATTACGGTTATTTTCTATCTTATTAATTGTGGGTTAGCTTCCGAGTTGCGGAGATCGTAGTAGGCTGAGAGGCAAAATTTTTCAATAAGTAGTATCAGAGCAATGGTGATGAATCCAGGAGTTAGTTTTCAAGATAGAAGTCATCGTCATGCGAGCTTGAAGATCGACTTTACAAGAATCAAGATGAAGAAAAAGAAAAAGAAAAAACGAAGGTACTATAGCACGGGAATACTGTAGCAACGGGAACACTGTCCACGTGGGCGAGCATTTGTTTACAAACTATAAAATCAAATCCGACGGTGCACATTGATTTATCTTTTGATTGAGCATTTGGAGGCGGACTTTGGTGATCCAGGAGTCGTTCCTAGGGTTTTTCAACGCGCTGAGTTTGTTTTTTATGTTGATTTTATTAAATTCAATCTCTATAGTGACTGATTTGAATTTTAATTATGGTTAGAGGATGATGACTTCTTCGAGTTGGAAGTTTGATATTCCACTATTCAACGATAAGACAAATTTGATGGCAGATATGGCAAACGAGTATGCGACGAATGGGATCAGTGTAGAGAATCAAATATGATTCTAACAGTAGAGTTGTTAGCATATAATTATTCAGAGTTATCGCAGGAGCAGTAGTTAGTTAGTGTGTAGACTCGAGGAGGACAGTTCCAGATTAGGTGGAGCTTGCAAGCAGGAACAATAGAGTGACACACATGCTGATGGAGATGATGGCATTAGGCTTGAAGACGATGAGCACTCATATTCAGTTCAATGCAAGTGATAGGGAGATAGAGGCATCCGGCTCGTAGTGTGGAGTAGGAAAGATGCACCGATATGATTCGAGACAAGCGATGCAGGTAGAGTACAAGGACAACAAGTGGGGGAAGACTACTGTTAAGTTCAAATTGAGAGGATAAGTATGGTTGATTTGCTTCTAATGTCAGAGGTGGCGAAGATCTCTTGGTGCGCACAAGAGAGGTAGAGGTACCACAGCAAGACAGATGAACATGAGGGTCATACGGGCATCTAGTTAGAGTGCAGGTGTTCTGATTAGGAGTGCATGTGCTTCGATTTGAAGTGCGAAAGGAATAGTAGATGCTAGCAGGATAGGTAATGTTTCAAGACGGCAATGATAGATCTTCGAGGTGGCTTGGGAATCAAATCCATGGTGAAGATTGTTGGGATTGTGTCTTTGATTCTTTATATAACTTCATGAAAATTAGATAGTATTAGAGATCTATCATGATTAGGAGATTGGGTCTTATCATGATTAGGAGTTCGAAACCTATTCTAATTAGGAAGTCAGGCTAGAGATATGATTTTGGTTTTCCTATATATATTTTCTATTGTTGGAGGAAAAACTAAGGAGAGGACAGAGTGCCAATATTCTTGTAATCTAGGGTTAGTAGAGGGTATCACCTGATTCAAAAATATTGTGCAAGAGGCGAGGGTTTCGTAGTCTTTGTCCGTGTAAAAGATTACAATATTAGGAGAGGGTTTCGCAGTCTTTGTCCATGCAAAAGATTGTAAGAAGAGGGCTTTGGAGAGAATATGAGAGTTGATTATATATGTGAGGTTGAGAGATTAAGAGACGAGAGTTGAGTGGTTCCTCTTGTAGTTCTCCCTTATACATGATGGATTTCTTGTATTGTTACCCGTGGACGTATGTTGAAGTTGGTCGACTGAGCCACGTAAATCTCAGTGTTCTTTCTTCTTGATTACGGTTATTTTCTATCTTATTGATTGTGGGTTAGTTTCCAAATTGCTGAGATCGTAGTAGGCAGAGAGACTAAAATTCCCTAATGCATTCAAAATATTTTTTTTATGATCCTTTGTTTTAGAATAAAATATTGACATGGACATAAGGTTCAAACATTACTCAATGCTATCATGTTCTGATTCTCATTTCCTTAAATATCGACATCTATCCATATTAGTATCCATTATTATGAGTTTTGCTACAGGGACCCAAAATATGGGACCAATTGAGGGGACAAATGAGGTGTCTTCCTCCTATTGGATAATGAGTTGGCCATCATTAATGATGGTCAACTCATTATCCAATAGGAGGGAGACACCTCACTTGTCCCCTCTATTGGTCCCATATTTTGGGTCCTTGAGGAATTTTTTTATTATTATATGCCTAAAATATAAAGATACACATAGGATAATAGAATTGGTTAAAAACACGAAAAAGTTAAAAAGATTTATCTAAAGATTTATTTCTATGGAAATATGCTTCCGAGCTAAAAGATCACAGAAACTGAATGGTAAATTAGTTTAGATCGTTGTCCCTAAAAAGTTTATCTTGCCATTGTAGAATAATTTGGGAAATATAACTCATTAGAACAGTTTGAAGCTTTTAGGATGGAAAAACACAAGTCGAGAGCTCAAACTGAGGAAATAATATCTTATATAACTTCTTTTGAATTAGTCAAATACTTTGATATCTATATACTATTACTAAAAGTTGTTACCCTTCAATTCGCCACTTGGCAAAAATGACCCATACCATTTTAAACAACACTTAGCAAACATATCAATTGCTATCTTCTTGCAAGTGCCACTTGTCAAGTTTCTACAAAAGTTCTCCATATTAAATTTGAAATAAAAAATAAAAAATAAAAAGTTCTCCTTGAGATTTGAACTAGCTCTCCCTGCCTTTTCAATTTTCCAAACAAGATGCTTCGTAAACTATTTGAACGCTTCGTAAACTGTTTAAACTGTTTGTATTCTTTTGCTACATCAATTTTTGTATATTAAACAAATCCGTGCATCGCACGGGCCTGAAACTAGTATATATTTATTATCATTCCTAATTCAGTGTAATTAGTACACAAAATCAGATAATCGATGAAAACCAATACAAACAATTGAGACATCATTGTAATTCAGAGAAAAAGAGTCTTTTGAGCGTATTGAGATGGAGATATTGTGAGAGAGTTGAGATCTTTGATTAGGGTTATATTTGAGTGATTGTATGAGTTATAACCCATTGTATTTCTCCTCCATATAATGAAATCTCCCCATCCTCTCCCAGTATACGTAGGAAATTTGCCGAATCACGTAAATTCTATGTGTTTGTAGTTTGATTTGTGCCGTATTTTGGTGAATTGCACTCAGAATATAGTTTGGTTGTTCTCCTTTCGTTGCCCACCGACTCATTTGGTTTGCGAGCACGCTTCTGCACAACACACAATAATTGATATCAGAGCTCCAAATTTGAGATCTAGGGTTTTGGCATTGGCTGAAGGAAGATTCATTATGGAAGCTTAGTTGTTGGAGTTCTAGGCTTCGATGGAGATAACGTTATAGAGTTGCCGTTGGAGATCTCGATTTTCTCGTGTGGTTAGGAGATCGTGTTGAAATTCCATCTAAGATTCAGTTGGGTAATTTCTCAATTTCTACCAAAATTTGAATCTTTCTTTACAATTTGGAGCGAGTTGCAATGGGAGAAAAAGTTTGTGAAAACAGCAAGATGATGGTGAGTATAATTCAGGTTGGATTTCAAAATACTAAGATTAGTGTGGTGAAGTATGATGGCCAAATCAATTTTTGATTTGTGGATGAGCGACGTACGGGACGCTCTCAGTGCTATAAATTTGGAAGAGACCATCATGGTCCATGAGAGGCCATCGAAATTCGATGACGCAATATAGGATAAGATGAATAGGAATACTTGTGGGGTGATCAAGTCTTATTTGGAACAAGAGCTAAAATATGATGTGATTGGGGTAACATCTACGATGAAAATGTGGGAGATTCATAATAACAAGTATCTTACGAAGAGTGTTGAGAATTAGTTGTACTTACTACAGAGATTATTTAGATTCCGGATGTCCAGGGGCACTTCACTAGCGGCTCATGTGAATAATTATACAAAGTTGTTGTCAAACTTGGCGAACGTGGATGAGAAGATAACGGACGAGTACAAAGCGATTATCTTGTTAGGCTCCTTACCCGATGAGGAGTATGATACATTCGTGCTTACTTTGTTAAATATGAGATCTTTCATCACCTACAGTGAAGTGACTAACACATTGACAAACTACGATTTGAGGAGGAAGGACATGGAGACTTCCCGAGTTAGCACTTTAGGAGAGACCTTATCGACGAGAGGTAGAAGTCCATATCCGAGAGGTAGTAATAGGAATAGGTCAAAGTCAAGGGGCCACCACTAGTTAGCGAAAAACCATTGTGTGTTCTACAAGGAACAAGAACATTGGAAGAGAGATTGCTCGAAGCTCAAGGAGAAGGAGAATAGCAAGAAGAAGGACCCGAAGGCCAATAAGGTGAACACCACGAGAGGTGATGATTCGTACTTTTCTCTATTGATTACTCTAGAGGTGAACCATGTGGATACATCTAATTGGATGCTTGATTCTGATCTACTTATCATGTGACTCCTCGATGAGATTGGTTTGCATCGTTCGAGAAACTCGATGGGGGGCGTGGTAGTTATGAGAAATGATCAATCATGTGGTATTTGTGAGATAGGTACCATCAAGATTCGTATGTATGATGGAGTAGTTCGTGAATTGAATAAAGTGAGATTTGTTCCTCAGTTGAAGAAGAATCTTATTCAATTCATGAACTACATTGAGATTTATGAGATAGGTACCATGAAGGTGATCTTTGAGAATTCTGATCACCTTGAATGTTGTAGCGAATAAAGTGAGATTTGTGAGATAGGTACCATCAAGGTGATCTTTGAGAATGTTGTAGCGAATATTACTAAGGGATCTTTGAGAATGTTGTAGCGAATGTTACTAAGGGATCATTTGTGGTGATGAAGGGAG